ATTCCTGGTGAATGCCCAGCACCTTCAGGTTGGGTTGAGATTGTCCCCCAAACCCTGAGAGCTTCTGCCTGACAGTCAAGACAATACTGAGCTACATGTACTGATGGTCTGACTCTGTATAAGGGATCTGCCTCGGTCCCTATGTATGCTGCATTCATATTTACACATTTGTGTAAAGTGTAACGTGGGAAGTTGAGACCCACTTCCCTGATACATATTTCCAGCCTGCCGGAGAAATAGAGACTGAATTAGGTTAACCTGGGCCAATGACATGCTGAAAATACTGCTGAGGTAAAGCTCAGTTGCTAGGCATTATGGGTATAATATACTGCAAATTGCTGTAGCAACGCAGGAACTATTTTCTTAGCTTGAAAACACCAGCTGAAGGATTAGTCTGGCCTTTCATTATTAGAAGCTGAGTGTTTGTTCTGAAGTGATTTTCATCGGGATTATGTAGAGCTTCAAACACTATAGAGCATGTATTTGCTTCAAATAAGTTCAGGCATACGAAGGGAGAAGAATAAACAGATGTCATGGGCTTTGGATGAATAAATGTATTGTAAAGTCCTTTTTTTACTTTAATTACAGCTGGGAGTACAATCTCCTGCCAGGCATTAAATTGGGTCAGCAGCAGCTTGAGAACAGTCACTGATGAATGCAAGTAGTGTATAGATACAGAAAATAAACTCCAGTGCAGTGCTAGGCTAGATAAGCCTGTGGGTATCTTGTAAGGCCCCCATTAACATTCAAGTAAAAATACATGAGAGAATTTGTGGCTGTCAAAAGATAACCAAAACTTTAAAGGATGTCAAGGCAGCACTGGGTTTAGCTGATTGCATTTAATCCCTTGGAAGGGGTGCCCCATAAAGCCAGTTCACATGCTTGCCAAATGGAGGAACATTGTATGTACCATGAGATATACGCTCATGGAAGAACAATGGAATGTGTGAAACAGGCAAAGTATACACCATACGTGCTTGAATGCTAAATTCCTCTTATGAGGTGGAAGGTCAGGCTTGGGCATGAGGTACATAAGGAGGGTTCTGATAATTCTGATAATTACTGCTGGGAATGCTGGGATCTATAGTTTCTCTTCATCCTGACTGGATTGAGCCAGGATGAATGAAAAGCTGCTCCTTGCTGCAATGGAAGCACTCAAGAATTACTCAAAATGCTGCTGGGAATCCTGGCAACGTAAAAACAGCCCCTCTTTTTATCTCAGCCTTCACTGCCACCACTTTTCACCCTGACCTGACCTAGTGGGAAAGCGGGGGATGGATGGATGGAAACTGGAAATAGAAGAGATAGACTTACGATGACTGGTGCTCAGATATGCTAAACCAGACTTCAGAGTTTGGCTCACTTTGTAATTGGCACAGCTTTTCCAGGATGGGGGAGTTTGTTCTGAATCTCAGCCCTGTTTAAGCATTCATCAACATGTGATTAACATCATATAGAGCAAGAGAACAGGGCTACATCCAGGGCTGGACCAGTGAACACAGTGCCACCATGCAGGCTCTGCTCTGTTCCAGTTGCTGGTGCCATCCCTACAATAAAGAAGATAGACTTGTGCTTATCATGCACTTGTTCCAAATATTATAGATTTGACTAGTCATCTCTGAACTGAACTTTATAGTTGAACACAGATAGCAGTTTCTGTGTCAGCTATCAGCATCCGTGCAAAGGGCAGAAATGTGCTGTGTGATTTCAGTCTACCTTGTGCAGAGTAACAGTGGAAATGAAGGGCATGTGAAACATCTTGCTAATTTTACTTAAATGAGGGGATGAGACATCTGCATGTCCTATGGTTCCTGTTTAGAAGGAAAGAAGGGGCTTGTCTTTGTCAAGATGGATCGTGTGTGTGTGTGTGTGTGTGTGTGGACAGGACAAGCGGAAGGCTGACATTTGTAATTTTTTTACCAGAAATTGATCATATTTACTTGAATCTTGGAAGAATAAAGGATCAAGCTACCAAAATATGGCAAGGCTTTGTATATGCATAGAACTTTCCCATTAAAGTCTGAAATATTTATGGATTAATCATCACAACACTTGCTTTAAGAATTGACTGATGGTGTTCAGTTCTTTCTAGAAGGCAAACTGCCATGGGGCCCAGTGAGTCACAGTACTTAACACTATGGTTGTAGTGAAAGAACAGTGGGATGTGAATGATGCATGGAAAGTTTATCAACCTCTGTATGAAGTATCACTGTGTGGACCTCAAAAACTTACATTATTTTCCATCAAGAGAAATTGTCTAATAAAATGGATTACAATTATATTTCTGAACTTACGGTGTATAGGTCATTCATACATTTTCTTTTAATTTGTTTCCTTCTGTTGCTGTTAATTTTTAGATTTGTCATTGATTTTTTTCTCCAAATTTTCCCCTTCCTTGTTTTTTTTTTAAATGCCTTCTCCCCTCAAAAAAAAATAAAAATAAAAAATAAAAAAGATAAAAAATTATTCTATCATCTCATCATTCTTCAGGTATGGCCATTTATAAGGACCTGTTTCAAAAGTCTGCTTTCAGTCAACTTGCAGCTAAAGATCTATTTCTGATCACTATGTATTGTGCTTCTAAACAGTGCTAAAGGTTATCTTGGGAATAACAGACCAGGAGAATTAGAAGGCCTGCCAGGCCACAATGCAACTGTGCTCTGATTACTCTCTTGTTAGAATTCCATTAAGTAAAAGGGGTGAAAAGTGCAAAGGCAACAAGTTAAATCAAAAGTGCAGATTTACCTCACACATTACATGCCTTATGTCTAACACTTAAAAGAAGGTCCTGGGCTAAGCCATAGATATTTTTATCCATCCATTTGGCTCCTGGGCTTCTTCTCCAACAAATAGATGACCACTGCTTTCAGGATTCTGAACAGGTGATTAGCAGTGTCAGAGTGGATAGTTCCACTCATTTGATTGGCAGTGCGCATGCATTGGTACATCAAAGGGGCAGATTCAGAAGGCTAATCAAAACATGTTGTTGTGTACCTTCACTGAATGAAACCAATTACCGTAAATTTCGCTGTATAACACGCAGATTTTTTCTCCTAAAAAGTATGGGGAAATGTCTGTGTGTGTTATTGAGCGAATGTGTGGCCCCTGGAGCTGACTCGCGGGGCAAAAATAGGCAAAAATCAGGCAAAAATAAGATCGGGCGGGCGGAGGGAAGGCGGAAGCTGCTGCTTTCCTGCATTCTGCCTCAGGGTCTTACTGCCCACCCGCTTCTGTTGCTGCGTTTGCTCAAACTCAACAAAGAGCAGGGAATCCCCTGCCCTCCTGGCAAGCAGAGGGTTAAGGAAAGGATCGAGTCCTTCCTTCTAATTCTTTCCTAGTCACACTGCGTGCAGGCTGCAGCCCACCACTTCCTCCTCTCCGTGCTCTAGGGACTCGCAGGCAGCCGAAAAACATGCAGGTGGGAGAGAGAGAAAGAGGGCTGGCTTGGGGGGGGGACTTTTGCCTTCCTTTCCTCCCCCCCGTTAAACTCCTCCCCTGCATTCTTAGCCAGCTGCTTCTCCGCACACCCCTCTTGTGCTTCTTGTCCCTTCTGTGTTTTTCCTTCCCTCCCCATTTAAAACGTGGTGACAAAGCACGGATCCACATGGATCCTCAGGATTTTTGCATTGGGTCACCCCAAATTCACCATCAGATCACATTACATGTCCATGGCTACAGTCTGTACCAAAAAAATCACGCACCCACTGTTGCCTGGGGCTGCAATGGTGCAAAAACGTGGTTACAAAGCATGGATCCACAGGATCTTTGCACTGGGTCACCCCAAATTCACCATCAGATCACATAGCATGTCCATGGCTACATCTTGCACCAAAAAAATCACGCATCCACTGTTGCCTAGGGTCACAGTGGTGCAAAAACGTGGTTACAAAGCATGGATCCACATGGATCCTCAGGATTTTTGCATTGGGCTACTCCAAACTCACTGTCAGATCCCATGTCTGTGGCCACAGCATGAACCACAAAAATCATACATCCACTGTTTCATTTAGAATATTTTTTTTCTTGTTTTCCTCCTCTAAAAACTACGTGCGTGTTATGGTCTGGTGCGTGTTATAGAGTGAAAAATATGGTATATTCAGATATGCTGAAGGATGGCTGGTTATTCCTGAGAATGAGTCTAACAGCATTGAGTCATGTGTATAACATGAGTAGGACATGATGCAAGAGTATCCTGTTTGAAAAAAAATATTATTTATTGGAATCGGCCTCTTTTGCTATTCTATGAGTGCTCTCTGTGTTGTTGTGGGGATAGCTGAGCAACTCATAAAGAGTGAGATATGTATTCTGTGGGAAGCCAACTTGGACATTTGTTTTCAAACAGGTTAAGCTTATATTGCCATTCATTCTTTCAAGTCTTGGGACCATTAAAATATCACATTGAAAAGCAGCCTGAATTTATCAGGGTAGCCAGACTTACTGTTGAGTGTACCTTCCTGTCTTAACTCTGGCATTGTTGCTTGCCCAATAACAGTGAATCTTTTCTCACAAGGACTTTCGGCTTCCAAATTGAACTTCCAAACATACCTCCTGTGTGACTTTTAGATCAGTGCATTCTTGCCATAACTAACAACCCTAAACTCTGCCATTAACAAGCAAGCAGCTTGTTGGAATGATGTGGGATTTCCCCTACAATACCACACCATCAGAATTTAGAATTCAAAATTGCATTAAAGTTGCTTCTGTGTTTGTTTTGGTGGGCAGATTTAGACAACTGGTAGCTTCTGGAATGCCTCATCTGAGGAAGTGCCTATAGCTTGCAAACATGTAGTTAGGCCCGCTGTCATCTCACCAAGCGGTGGAAAGTGAGATAGGTACCCTGGGCTTGCAGCACAATTCTGTGTGTCAGAAGACAGCCCCTCCATGGGACCAACACCCAGATAAGTGCATACAGGGTTGGAATCTTAATCACTTAAACTTCCATAGACCTTTTGCATATTGTGAGAACAAGTGCCATTGCTTCGAAACATTCCTGATGGGATTTGGCTAAGGAATTGAACGAGGTAGATATTTTTTCCATCCCCTTTTGGTGGCTGCAATCTCCTTTTCATCTCTTTCACAGTGTTTCCTAGCCGTTCGCTCCTAATCCTGCAGAGCAATGCAGTGCAGCATGTATTCACACAAAAATCGTCTTGAAGCCCATTAAGAATTCCAGCCACCTTTTGAAAACAGCCAGGTAGTCCTCTGCTTTTTATCCATCTAGCTGTTTTAACATTTATTATTGATGACCTTTCAGCACTTCCTCTCACCTGGTGCTCTCCAAACCCTTGTGCACCGCTGTGTAGGAACAGGTGGATGAATAGGCATGAAGCCCTGGATGTTGATCACGGGCCTGTCAGGGCTTGTTTCTTTTCAAGGCTGCTTGCCAGCACTTACATAGGTTTCTTCTCAGCACCGGTATAGTGGTTTTGAGGCAGTATTCGTTCTCATAAAAGAGATTTGGGTGATTGTGGTCATAAAAAGTTTGAGCTACCCCTTTGCATATTTACTTGTACCATTGGAATTAGGGGAACTTATTTCTGACCAACATATGTAGAGAATTAGGAATTTAATTAGGCAGGGAAGAGCACATGGGAGTTTTCTTGCGATTTGAGGGGCAGGGAATCTCTCTTCCTTCCAAAGTGCAATGTGAGAACCTTGTTTCAGCTAATCAAAACCTAGAATAACTTAAAAGTAGACTCATATCCAGACATAGTTGTTTATTCACACTGCGGTCTGGGCTTACGTGCTGGGAGAAATAGTGACTGAGTTTCAGACAATTGGACCTTTAAAAATTATAGATAATGAATTATTATAAAAAGGCCTCAAACTGTGATTGCACAGGGCTCCATGTTGGATGCAAGCCTACCCATCTTCAGCTGTATTTTTGTGGGGGTGGCGCTGTGGTCTAAACCACAGAGTCTAGAGCTTGCCGATCAGAAGGTTGGCGGTTCGAATCCCTGCGATGGGATGAGCTCCTGTTGTTTGGTCCCTGCTCCTGCCAACTTAGCAGTTCGAAACATGCCCCAAAGTGCAAGTAGATAAATAGGTACCGCTCTGGCAGGAAGGTAAACAGTGTTTCTGTGCGATGCTCTGGTTCGCCAGAAGCAGCTTATTCATGCTGGCCACATGACCTGTACGCCAGCTCCCACGGCCAATAAAGCGAGATGAGCGCAGCAACCCCAGAGTCAGTCACAACTGGACCTAATGGTCAGGGGTCCTTTACCTTTACCTTTTATCCTTACAGATGTTCATGAATAGAGATCAGGGGATGGGGCTAGTCAGCACAAATGATGTCAGGGGTTTGCCAACCAGCACAAACCCATCCCCTTCTTTGTGTTGGTCTACGCAAGAGTTATAATGCCTGGAAAGAGCTATTGTGAACTGTGATTGCATCATAGGACTAGGTTTGGCTATATTTGTGACAGTCATCTTGGAAAATTGATGCCTTTTCTGTCGCAGTTGAAAATCACATTTATTTTTTCCCCCTTTTTTGGTCTAAGGGAAACTATGCTGAATGTTTAGTTACTGCTAAAGTCAGTATTTGAACACCATAGCAGCAACCCGTAATCTAAAGAAGAAGGTGATTTTAATCACAAATGTAAGGCTTGCCAGATAATGATGCTGCACTAAGGTCTACTGTCAGACCTGAACACTAATAAGGTTTGACAACAGAGTGGGACATGTTAAGATTTCTGATGTGCAGCTCCCTATCTCTGAAGACTTAAAACCTTCTGTCTCAAGGTCATAAACATCTTTCCTTTCTTTTTTTGAAATTTGAAAAACGAAAATGATTCCATTCATTCTCAAAAATAGCATTTATACTTCAGTGCTGTAAAATACTTGAATGTTAATTGGAAGGTGTAATCCAAGAAATATGAGTAATTTCTGGTGTGGTATATACATTACAGCTGTCTCGTGGAAAATTGTTCCACATGAGTCAGGTTGCTGATGGCAAATCCTGCATATTTATCTGTATCAGCATAAAAGCTGGGTTTTCTGGTTATCATTGCTCAAGGATCCAGGAGTGAAAACACTGGACATATGGGGTGCAATTCAACATGGTGCTAAGTGGGGTATGCATGGGGGGAACGAGGTCCACTCACACAATGGGACTACCCTTCTCCCCCCCCCCATTCTGGGAGCAGATTTAGAGGGCACACGTGTAACAATGTAGTTCAATCCAACCCTAAGGTTGCATTTGACTAACAATTAATTTGTAGGTCTCACAATAAATACAGTTTTACAAACTGGGCAGTCCTATGGCTACTAGTCATTTTTCAAGCTGAGTCTCCCCCCACCCCCACCCCATCTGCTGTTCTGTTAAAGATTTGCTTGCTTGCTTGCTTGCTTGCTTATCTATCCCAACATAGAGTCTTGTGAGCCCATTTGGTGAGAGAGTGGTGAGATCTTGTGTCTCCTTGCCAACCTCTTTTAACCCTAACCCTAACCCTAACCTCACCTTAGCTTCAAGTCTCAAACAATAATGTCTAAATGTTTTTGGGTGCACTAAGAGTCCTGTCAGCTATAAGTAGCAAATGCATATCCAGGAAATTTGGAGGGAAATACCAAATACTGGTTTTCCCAGTAGTGATGTATGGAAGTGAGAGCAGGACCATAAAGAAGGCTGATCGCCGAAGAATTGATGCTTTTGGATTATGGTGCTGGAGGAGACTCTTGAGAGTCCCATGGACTTCAAGAAGAACAAACCTATCCATTCTTAAGGAAATCAGCCCTGAGGGCTCACTGGAAGGACAGATCCTGAAGCTGAGGCTCCAATACTTTGGCCCCCTCATGAGAAGAGAAGACTCCCTGGAAAAGACCCTGATGTTGGGAAAGATGGAGGGCACAAGGAGAAGGGGACAACAGAGGACGAGATGGTTGGATAGTGTTCTCGAAGCTACCAGCATGAGTTTGACCAAACTTCGGGAGACAGTGGAAGACAGGAATGCCTGGCGTGCTTGGTCTATGGGGTCACGAAGAGTCGGACATGACTAAACGACTAAACAACAACCAAATCAGAATCTTTGAAGAATAAGAGATTAAATAATATATTGGTAGCTATTGTGGGGAGGGTTCAGCTGTAGTCCACCTTTGCTCACAGTGAAAGATGATTTTGTTGTTGATGATGATTCTTAGGCTTATATGTCACTCCAACAAGAAACTACTGTAGTACAGTGGTACCTCGGGTTAAGTACTTAATTCGTTCCGGAGGTCCGTACTTAACCTGAAACTGTTCTTAACCTGAAGCACCACTTTAGCTAATGGGGCCTCCCGCTGCCGCCGCGCCACCGGAGCACAATTTCTGTTCTTATCCTGAAACAAAGTTCTTAACCCGAGGTACTATTTCTAGGTTAGCAGAGTCTGTAACCTGAAGCATATGTAACCTGAAGTGTATGTAATCCGAGGTACCACTGTACTGCAATGAAATATAAGTGCAAGGTTTTCCCCCTGGTGTAATTCTGCTGGAGACTTGTATATTCTCAGGGCAGACCTAGCTGTGAATGTGTGTAACAAATTGCCACTTTTGCTCAGGGAAAATCAGCTCCTGCTTTCTCTTTGGAACTTTCCTCTCCCCCCACCACCCACTTCCTTCTAAGGCAGTGATGGCCAAACTTGACCCTCCAGCTGTTTTGGGACTACAATTCCCATCATCCCTGACCACTGGTCCTGTTAGCTAGGGATGATGGGAGTTGTAGTCCCAAAACAGCTGGAGGGCCAAGTTTGGCCATCACTGTTCTAAGGGGGTCTGGATGCAAAGGATATGCACTTTCTGAAAGACAGAGGAGGAAACAGCTCAAGGAAATTGCAGAGCGAACACACATACAGAGACATAAACTGGGCCAGCCTTCTCCTGAGGCAAGACCTCTCCAGAACTTACTGCAGCTTTGCTGGTGCCACCACACAACCCAAGGAAGGGAGGCAGCGGCACAGCATATTCCTGTTTTGTCTCAGGCAGGAAAACTTGACACTCCACCCTTGCGCGCGCACAAACACATACACACACTTCTCCAGTGCAAATCAACCCTCCCCAAAGCTATTTCCCCCCACAGAAATTGCTGTCAGGATTTTGTTACATACATAGTTTTTGTTACATGCATAGTTCCACCCCTGTCCAGGGGTCCTTTACCTTTTACCTTTACTTTATGATGATGAGCATTAGGTGTTTGACCCTCTTCTTCAAATCAGCTGCTGGATAGTTAGAGTTCTATTTTTAGAAGCCGGGTTGCCGCTAGTGGATTGTATTTTTCATGCAGATGATTTCCTAAAAGGTATAAATATTAGGTTACACATGCGCCTCAAGATTTGCCTTGTGTTTGTACCTTTAAAAACAACAACCAATCTGTCATTCTTTGCTCTGTCTTCACTCTGCTCCAATCCACAATTCAGACTTTGACCTGCTCTGCCTACAACGAAGCTCCATGTTCTCCATTCACTTTTATGAGAAATCTAAACACGACTATAACTTCTTTCACTTTTTTCAGAAGTGGAAGACATTTGCAGACACAGGAACCCCTTCAACATGAATTATGCCTGTCAAATTGCTGGGAAAAGGGTCCAGTGGATTTTGTGTGGGAAGTAAAGAGGATCAACTTTCCTCCATAATCCATATTAGGCCAACTAAAAAACCTTATTAGTTTCATGTTTCTGAGGATAGAGCAGGGGTTAGTCTCATGCTCTTTCACTTGTCAAAATAGTTAAGAGGTGACTGAGTTGTGTTGGATTGTTGCATATACTTTTTTTAAAAAAGGGTTGGCTTCATACTAGGGTTGCCATATTTCAAAAAGTGAAAATTTGGACACAAAAGTTGTTCAACTTTTTTTTTGGGGGCAGAATCTCAAAAAAAGAAAAGAAAAGAAGTTTTTGAGCTTTTTTAAAAAAATGCAATTCACCAAAATCTAGACTTTCAACATGCATTGCCATATGTCCGGATTTTTCCAGACATTTCAGCGATTTCTACCTGGACAGTGTTTCTGACTATGTCCAGGAAATTCTGGACATATGGCAGCCCTACTTCACACCATCTAGCTTTCTGGTGTGGGGAACAGATGTCCTCCAATAGACATTACAAGGTGAAGATTTCCTGAAGTGTGCCTCTGGAGTGGTGAAGAAGCCCTACCCACCTAGCAGTGTGTGTGTGTGTGTGTGTGTGTGTGTGAGAGAGAGAGAGAGAGAGAGAGAGAGAGAGAGATTTTT